TTACCTGGGCAACTTTCATATTCCCATGGCAGGTTTTTGTTTGGTTTTGTTTTACGGGTATAAACACCCACACAAGATGGACAGAAACACCCTGGGCTTAGCAGTGTTAATTATTTTTCACAAACACTTGTGACAGGTCCTTTCTCCAATCTTTTCTCTTCCATAGACAAGAAATCTTGTTCCTCTTGCATAATTTTCCATCCAAAAATGACAGATGGAACAGCAAATTTCAGGAAGTAACAGTGAATAGCTGTACATGGAAACAACACCACCTAACACACCAGTCAGGAGAGAGACAGAGACTCAGCACAATTCCAGTTTTCTTTTCTGTTCTTTTTTTCTGTTGTTGTTTTTTGTTTTTGTTTTTGTTTTTTTTGGCTTTTTTTATGACATAAGCAACAAGGGAAAAGGCATGAGACTTGCCTGTAGTTCCAGTGCACTTGGCACCTAAGGCTGACACACAACTGACCTGTCCCCTACATCCTCAAAATCTAGAGAAGTTGGAGGAATCCATTTGGTAGACTATGGCAGACTCTGGGGTAACCAGGGGTGGTAGCATGTTCTCTCTTTTCCTTGTCCAGGTTGCTAAAATGATAGGTCACACACCCATCTTCAGTTCAGACAAGATCAAATATGCTTCTACAATGATGTTCGAATCCTTCTTCTGCTGTTGTTGGATCACATATCAACCATCTGAAAGTTAATTTTGATTTAGCAATTATCAGTTGACTCAGCTGCTAGGAGGAAAACAACTAAGATCTGGAGCTCTTAGCTGAATTGCTAATTTGGATATTAGTTCATCAGTCTGCTCATAACAATTCCTCTTTCTGGGAGGTCTTGCCGGATGGTGAAGACTGTGAAAAAAACCCAGCTGATCTCGGGAGGTTCGAATTCATACAGTCTGAGTAATCCTAGATAAACATATCCATTATTTCCTTCAGTAATTAGAAGAAATACTAGCTGAAGAAGTTATCACTATCACCCTTCTTTTCTTAGTGTTAATGATGGCTTGCCAACATCCACTATACTTTAAAGCCTCAGAATGATGCTTTTTTTTGGGAGCAGGAAAGAAAAAGGAGCTCTGAGAGAAAAAAGAATTCACCAGTGTTTACAAGATGAAGACAACCAAGTTCTGAAATTGTTATATCAGCCAGCATCTCTCAATGAAGTCAGTCATTTCATTCACAGGAATATAAGGCATCTTAGATCTCTCCATACTTCTTATACATGAGCTGGCACTTCTGGAACTTCTCGGCTATTCAAAGAGACAGGAAAGACTGGAGGGAATATAAACCTGGCTCCTAGAAATTCTGGCTTCACCTGCGGCCTTGCCTTTCATAATAAAATTAGGATATCATGCCACTAAGTATGCTCCCTCCTGCATTAAAAAAAACCAAACCAAACCAAACCAAACCACCTCTTTTTTTTCCCCCCTCTTATTTCTTAGCCACTTCAACAGAAATCTTAAGTAAGCTAAAGCAAATAAGCCATGCTCATCCTGCAATAAAAGTGACCATACAGAAGAAAAGCCCATCTAGAGCTGGATCTGGTGAGAAACATCAAGGGAAACAAGGAATGCTTCTAATGATACCTCAGAAGTAAAATGGAGACTAGATAAATGTCAGCCCAGTGCTGAAGGGGGCAGGAGACCTGGTGACAGAGAATACGGAAAAGGCCAAGGTACTCAGTGCCATTTGCACCTTTTTTACTGGTAAAAGCAGCTTCAGGGATCTCAGGTTCCTATGATTAGAAAAGTCCAGGGCAAAGAAGGTTCATCCTGCGTGGAGAAGGATCAGGTTAAGGAACATTCAAACAGACCAGGCATGTGTAAGTTCCTTTAGGATACACCCACAGGAACTGTGGGAGTTTGCCAATGTCATTGTGAGGCCACTCTCTATTACCTTTAAAAGTTTGTGGCAATTGGGAAAGGTCACTGAGGACTGGTAGAAAGCAAGTATCACTCCTATTTTTAAGAAGGGAAAGAAGAAGGATCTGGGGAACTAACAAACTGACCAGCCACACCTCTATTCCTGGGGAAGATGATGGAGCAAATTATCCTGCAAACCATTTCCAAATGTGTTAGGAATACGCAGATGATTGGGACTGGTCAGTATGGATTTATGATGAGGGAATCTTGTCTCATGAAGTTCTGCACGTGCACATAGCTCCAGTCACCAGGATAGGCTGGGCACCAGCTGGCTGAAGAGTAGCTTGGATAAAAGGATGTGGTGTCCTGGTGGACATGAAGTTGACCTTGAGCCAGCAACATACCCCTGTGGTAAAGAAGGCCAATGGCCTCGTGGGCTGGGCTGTGTTAGGAGGAATGCTGCCAGCAGATTGAGGGAGGTGATCCTTCCCAGCTCCTCAGGCCTTGTGACATATACCTGGGTCCAGTGTCTAGCTCTGGGCTCCCCAGTTCAAAAGAGATGTGGACATATTGGAGAGAGTCCAGCAAAGGGCCACAGAGACAAAGAACAATTAGAGCATCTGTCATATGAGGAGACGTTGAGAGAGATGGGACTCCTCAACCTGGAGAAGGTTCATGGGGGATATAATCAATGTACACCTGATAGGAGGGTGTAAAATAGATGGAGCAGAACTTTTTTCTGTGGTGCCACATAAAAGGACAAGAAGCAACAAACACAAATTGATATACAGGAAATCCCACTTAAACATAAGAAAAAGCCTCTTTACTGTGAGAGTGGTTAAACACCAGAATAGGTTGCCCAGAGAGCTTGTGGTCTCGATCCTTGCAGATACTCAGAATCTGACCATGCTCAGTCCTAAGCAATCTGTTCTATCCGATCTTGCTCTGAGCAGGAGGGTGGACCAGATGATCTCCAGAGGTGTCTAACAGCCTCAACTATCCTGTGATTCTGTGAAGGTTTAGCCACTAGCCAGCACCCTTGTAAGACCTGTACAAGTGGTAAAACTCTCTGCAGCACAGTAGGACAAGGCAGCCCTCTCTACATCAGTGTGCACCTCTTAGACAAACCAGAAACCTATAGTGTTGTCTAGCTGGCTGTCCATGGAATCACATGCATCATCACTTTGGCTTAACATTCAGATCCTGAACACTCCACTTACAGTTCAGAGCAATTACAAATGCATATGAGAAGGAAGACTGCTTGTGAAAGATTATAGCTGGCTTTGCTTCACAGGTTCTTCCACTGGCAACAGGAAGTACAACTGGCTTTTAACTCTAGTGCTGCCATACGAAAAGGCCTGTCCATAATTAAGATAAAAACCTTACTGATCCTAGTGGAATGCCACTGGCATTACCATCTCTCTCTTCCCATACTTTCCTGTAATTGCCTCAAACAGACTTATTTTGGCTTGAAACTTTCCATGTTTGCATTTTGGCCAGAAGCAAAGCTTTTTGGAGAGTTTCAGCAAAATCAGTTATTTTTTTTCCTTTCCACTTTTGTGCAAGCTTAAGTTACTTCCAAACAAAAATGGTTCCAGAAATGAGCTCTGACTCTGAAACATTTTCAACAGAATATAGTGGAAGTTTGGTCTCATATGTTAAAATGTAGTAAGACCATAAAATACACTGGATCTAATGATTAAATCTAGTACAGCTCAAATTATGTCATTCCATGTAAGAAATCAACATCTGTAGATAAGCAGCTATATTAAGATCTGGAGAGAGGTATGAGGGGTTTTTTTGCACAGTGTATTACATCTCTAAACCATATCAATCCACTTGGAATATAAAATGAATCATCTATCTTTTCTGATTTTCCCTCATTTAAAATAAAAATACAAAGAGTAGTTTAAATAACAAGAGGGAGTATTTGTAACACCACAGTCACCCACAGACCATGACCTTGTTTGGATATAATTGATGATAAAAGTATTTTTTCAATGGTGCTTAATGGAAAAAATGGAACTTCCCTTACAAAAATCCTAGCCCTTTTAAAAACAAAAAGCAGAGGGTGAAAAAAATCTGGAAAGAAACAACTAAAAGGCTTCTCCCCCTTCTAACCTGGAGATCCTTTGATATCCTACTACCATTCTAACACAACTTTGTCCTGCAGTTTATCAGCTACTGCTGGGAGATACTTTTTTCACAGGTGACCAGAAGAGGGAAAACCATAATGCAGTGATGATTAAGTCCCTTTCCTATAACCTTTCTTTTTCTCTTCGTCTTCTACCTTCTGCTGCAGCTCATTCTCACCTGCCTTGTGTGAGCACTTTCCTGGAAGCCTTTTCCAGTAATTAACAACAGTATAATACTCAAGCAATGCTCAAAACTGAACACAAGACATCTGTTCATCTTCACTACTTGCTGGCATAAAAATAAATCTTCCACATAATTACCTATCACAGACAGCAATCTTGGATAAGCAAAAGGCTAAATTAGCTTACTGGAAAACAATAAAAGCCTGCACTCATATTTGTAATGTGCACTCAGAAAACCTCAGAACAATGTAGAAATGGATCTGTTTTCTGCATTATATCCTGTGATGTTACTTATCTCATTTAGACAATTAATATAAAACAATAATAAAAAAGAATCTCCCATGTATTTAAACAACGCAATAACAAGGAACTGTGCTGCAAAAAGTGTGAGGCTGGTGCTGTCCTTTGAACAGAGCTATTTGGAAGAGCAGATGAGAACAGAGGCTAGACTCTGGTATCAAAGCCAGATTGTAATTAGTTTATCTGGAGTCCTCAGAGAAGACAGGGAACCCTTCTGGATTCAAAAGTATGATGGAAAAGCATAAGAAGAGCACACCTGGCGCATGGAGATCAAGCCATGGGCACATAAGCCATACATCAATGGTGTTTGTATAGACCCAAGGCTCCAGGCAGTGCTGCAGTAAAGTAGTGTTAGGTGAATCCTAACTCTGCTCTACTGGAAGCGGCAAGCAGGGGACAAAGAAGGGGGCGACTGAGAAAAGGAAAATAAGAGGAAGGAGGAAAGCAGGAATCTAGAAAGCTTGGGCCTGGGAAGGGTTTTAGGCCTGCCATGAAGGTTGAGGACAAGACAGATTGGAAAGGACAGGGATCTGTACTGCTCCTGTGGTACTTCTGGGCTCTGGGCAGTGCAACTGTGCACTGTAATGACACTGAAGACAGTCTGAGGCAGAAAAGTGTGAAGAGAAGGAGATTGATGAAAGGGCAGATAAATGACATGAAAGCATCTTAAAGGAGGGTAAGAGGCTCTCTTCTCTCAAAGGATCTTGGGTAGAGTGACACTTTAATCCACATCTCTCCATGTGCATGGGCTGCTCATTGGCCTACTGTGGTGCACTTATTGGAGCCCAAACATCTGGGACTAGCTCTTGACGGAAGACTAGTTATCTGCAAATGATGCAGCTGGCACTCAGGGCTGACAAAAGTGCTGGTTAGGAACACCAGTCCAGCACGGACAAGTGTGATCAGAACATCACCAGTGGAGTACAGCAAAGCCCTGGTCTTAGCTTACAGACAGACATGACCAAAATTTATGTAACCTGGACCTACTTTATTGTCCTGCGGGACAAGGATTTGCACAGAGCAGTGATACTGCGGGAAGACAGCACATTACAATCTTCACACATGCCTGAGCAGACATTATCAGCCACCTTTCATTACTTCCTTGCCCTCATACACAGGACCCCTCTTACGGTAAGTTTGTACCCACAACTCCCTTCCGCAAGTGAGGAGATTCTCACAGACTTTGAATACCAATACTTTCAGAGTGTTGAAATAAGTATTTTCCTTGCCTTGTCTAGATCTTCCAGCCTCACTAAAGCAGTAGCCACTGAGAATGGAAAACACCACATGGATCCTGACACCAGTTTCAGTTCTCCCCGCTTCCCAAGGACTATACTTCTCTGGGAACTAGCATTTGTCTTTCCAAACACCAGTCCTCACTTCTTCCTGGGGCTAGAACAAAGGATGGGAGTCATGTCAAATCAATCCTGTTTACACCCTCCACCCAGCCCTAGTCTGAAGTGTGGCTGTTAACCTCACTGAGTTGGATGTGCTGCTGGATGTGCTTGCTAGCTGCTAAGAGGCAGAAAGTGGAGTAGGATTTCCTCATCTGGGCACAATGCTCTGCTCCAAAACAGTGGCAGACAAAATTTCCTTGTAGCTGTGGAAGTGCAGTGAAAGAGGTAAGGAGCTGCAGCAGGAAGAGAAAGATGAAAGTGTGCCTTGCTCTTCTCCTTGCATATATCGAGCCCCTTAGAATCACACAGTTTGGCATGTTATTCTTTTCAGTGTGTTCATGAAAGGTTTATTCAAGCTCTGTGCAACCTCTGACTTGCTGCCTTTCATCTCAGCTCCCTACTCCTCCTACTCTTCTGCCTTGGTTGGCCAGAGCATAAACCCGTATGTGTAAAAGCTGTTCCTTTTGTGTAAGCACTGTAACTGGTTCAGTATCTTTGGCTATGCATATCACAAATAAGTCTGTAACTAACAAATATTGCAATCAATGCATGTACGCTGTGAGGTCTTTGCATACTGAAGAAAAGCACTCTTCTACACTTGAAAATGTTTTCCTACTAGGGTACAACTATCAAGGCAAAAACGGTGTTCTGTGTCCACCATGGTAAAAGTACTGACCCTTCTTTAAATTAAGGCAAGCATTTGTAAAAAGCTTCTAACAGATGTGTGAAGAATGTGTTCAGGTTGAAGGGCATTTCAATCACATACCAGCTCCAAAGGCAAAGAAGAAACTCTTGTCTGGGTACTCTTCCAGCAGGTCCTTCACCCTCCTGCCCATTCGCTCGTTTCTCTTGTAGATGAGCTCCTGACGGAAGTAGCTGTCTATCTCTTGTGCAGTAATGCGTTCATGGGCTGGAAGTGTAGCATTAATGAAATTTGGGACCTAAGGTAGGAAAAACAAAAAGTCTTCTTGGAAGAGGCATTTATTTCACAGGCAACTATTATGCATAGGCATTTAGCTCTGTCTTTGAACGTGGCAATTGCCTTGTCCCTCAAGGCACATCCAGCAGGACAAAACCCAAAAGAAAGCTAAAAAATTACTCAGCAAACTTCAAATAATGCACAGTGCTTAATTTCTCTCAATATATCATTTCATAAGCCAGCCAGCTGAATTTTTTTTGATGCAGAGTCAAGAAGTACTCTCAGTTTGCCATACCATAGATTCCAAAACCTGATTGCTTGGCTAAAGAAAATAAATATTTGCCTCTGGCTATCTTTAGCTATTTTTAGCTATACCTCTTCCTTAACTTGCCATAGGTATGACATAACTATAATGATAATTACACTCTTCTAAGAGAGTTTGATTGGTATCAGACCCCTCAGGCTCTCAAAGAATAACTGTGCAATTTGAAACAGTTAACAAAAACATCCCTAAGCTTTCCAAAAGAAGGAGGGACAGATTTTGCCAGGAAAGAAAGTATTACCACCTCCAGTTCCCCTGTCCTCAAGCTATCTTTAAAATACTGGCTTCCTCCCCTGCAGCCACCAGGACAGCTGTGGCTGCACACTACCCTGACCTGGGTCTGGAGTTGCAGCCAATCCTAGGTTCTTGACAAATAGCTTTGGGCATTGCAGCTACGGGAACTGCTAAGGAAACGGCCTGCCAGTGGTGGTTTCTGGGCAGCAGAGCCACGAAGCCAGTAGTGGCCACCTTGCAGGTGCTTTCCCTTGCAAGGCTGCAGCTCTAGAGTCACTCAGAGACTTACCAACCGATCCCAAAGGGTTTTTAGACCACAGTGGGTCATCTGGTGGAGAAGCATGGGGTCAAATACAATTTATAGAGAAGTTCTGATTAAAAACATAAGCCGATAGTGTTGCAAGTTATCACTACTCAATCTCCACTGTGAGGAAGAGTGCCTTGGTGCCATGCAGGGAAGCCCTTCACGTACATAAAGGACATTTTCTCCCTCAGAGACATGCATGTCTCAGCAAGAGCTGTTCTCTCTGGGGACCCCAAGACAACACCAGCTGTCTTCAGTCTGTAACACCTCAGCAGAATAGTGATGCAGCATCTGTATGCCTTTACAGTGCTGGCCTCCTTTAAAATCTATTAATTAAGTACACTGTGTAAAAGCTAAGCAGTGCTAATGACCATGCTGCCTGAACCTGCAGGCTGAAGGGTGTGCAGGACAGGAAGGTAGCAACATGCTTGGAAAGCTCAGTGTTGGAGAAGCAAAGGTTAGTATGACAGTACTTCCAGCTCTGCAGCACTGCACAGCGTGTATGAACAGGTCATAGGAAAATGGTTATTCAGCAGGGAAGGCTCGGGTACCAACACCCATTTGTTCAGCACTGAGAGGCTACAGCCTATGTTTTCATTGATGTGCATGAATTGTCGGGCAGTACCTCACGGACCAGAACAGAGAGGCCTGATCTCTCAGTCTGAGGTTAGCTAGTCTAACAGCCCAAACAGGCCAGATTGATCCCTGCTGGGCATTTTCTCGTGGTTTAAAGATCAGAGCATTGCATTCCACTGTGCCCCTTAGGAAATGGTCTCCATAACCCAAGTCTGTGAGGCCTGAAAAGGTTTTCTTTTCCTTAGCATTCAGTCTAACTCTATCTTTCTTTGTTTCACTCCACTTCTCTTCTTTGGGCCTTGCCCACGGTAGACAATCATGCTGAAAGGGGACATTAAAAAGCTTGCAACTTGCCCAGCCTTACACGAGTGTCCAAGTCACGAGTACATACCTCTGCCACTATTTGCACAAAAGAGCCTGCTGCTGCTCTCTGTTGGTGCGAAGTTCGCTCATACCTAAGCTAGTGTAATTCCACAGGATCCTTAAGAAAATAAAGGATTAACTTCTAGAGCTTTGACACCAAAGCAAACACAGCATTCATCCAAAAGGGAAAGGCAGTTGCGCCTTTGCTGCTTGCATGCAGCCAGACAGGGGTGAGGTAGTGCAGACTCCTGGGACAGGAAGTGCAGGAAAGCAGACGCGCCAGGGAGCCCTGCAAAGGGCCTGCCTGAGGAGAGACAAGCGTGAGCAAGACAGGGGTTAGTGCTACAGGTACATGTGCTAGTACAGGGCTGTGGTGGGAAGACTCACTTGAGAAGTGTCATGGTTGAAGATGATGGAGCTGAGGTCCCCACAGTTGTAACGCTTGATAAGGTCTTCTGTCGTATAGGGGATCTGGAAACTGCCTGATCGGAGGCTCTCCTGCTGCAAGAGAGTCTGATTCAAAGCAAAGACCACCTGAAGGAGGGGGAGAGGGAGGAAAAGACAAGAGTTCCCGGTGAGTCCTCATCTCGCCCCTTGAGAAGGTCACTGACATACAGCTGCCTGATGAGGGCTCTCTGAAGCTGCTCCCACTCCAAGCACGCCAGTCCACATGTTGCCAACCGATGCCTCCTCCAGGTCCTCAGATACTCACACCTCAGGTCCCATGGGCCTGCTCATAGGGAACTGACTCACCACACATAACTCCAGGAGGTTTTGCCCATCACAAGATTAGTACAGAAGATACAAAGGGGCAGACTGAAACAAGAGCAACCTTGCTTCCCTAGAAGCAAGTCTGCCTGACTGCCATAGAGCCCTAGGGCCTGACAGGTTCCTATCCCCACAGCTCCTCAGCCACCTACCTAAATTAAGCATGGCCTCTCCTTGTTTACCCTTTCTTCCCCATCCGC